AGTCATGCACTTAGCTTTCCAGCCTCTATAGCAGAAGCAGATCGGAAGACAAGGGTGGGAAAAACGTGTGGAGTTGCCCAGTCAACAGTGTCTACCAAAGGAGAAAGAACCTAAAAGCATTTCAAAGCCAACTGAATGCAGAATTCTTCTACATTTTACCAAAACTTTTTAATATTTTACAATTGTCATGCCCATGTCTAATTCAACAGCAAATTTCGTTAGCAAATTATCTTTCCAAAGCATTTATCTTAGTTTTCTTAAAATGACCATGTTTGCACTTGTGTCTAATTAGATGACATGATGTTCAATTTAATTCATTTATTATTCAATGCTCTTAATTTACTTGATTTATTCTAAATTATATCACAGCTGACATAAGCAGGTTTAAGCTCAAATGCAGGACACGCAAAGGGAGCAATGAGTCAGCCACAGGGAAGTGTAGGGGGTGCCTGTGTACTGGGTGAGCAAGGGGCCTCAGCTAGGGGCTTTGCTGAGGATCTCTACATCAGCAGCTAATTGGGGAAGTAAGCTAGGTAGGGGTCAACTGAGATAGCTTCTTCCCCTCAAAGCACTGTGCTAGGCTCTGTGAGAAATATAAGTAAGAAGTGAGATTTACACTGTCCTAACAGCACTACCTGCTGATCAGGGGTATGGAGTAAGCTTAGAGGGGCCCGAATGATTCAGGAACGTGGGGAGAAAGAAGTGCTGAGTGGTGGATGGAACAGACTGTCCAGGTAAAAAGATTACAGGGTGCACTGTACAGCCCCAGACCACATCCTCTCTGCCTCGCGTTGCAGTGCACACAGGCCTGATTGCAATGACCAGCACTGGCATCTCTTTACCTGAGGGCTTTTGGACTCAAGCAAATGACCACACCTTGCTCTGCTCCAAAGTGCTGGAGAATTAGTACCACCCCTTCCACCCCCAGATATGCCTCCCAGATGACTTGGGAAGACCTAGTGGATAAGCCCCCCAGCGCCTTGCCCTTGGTTGGAACGCTCTGGGTGTGCTCTGCACTGCTTCCCAGAGCTGCCCAGCAGGGTTAAGCTCCAGGTGCCTGCAGTGGTAGCTGGCCTGATAACGTAGTCTAGATGGGCTCTTTCTTTCCTCTTCTTACTTCTTAACTCCCCCAAAGATGTTTCTTGGGACTGCTGCAATGGCTCATGCCTATAATCCCAACACTTTGGGAGGCTGAGGAGGGCAGATCACTTGGGGTCAGGAGTTCAAGACCATCCTGGTGAAACCCTGTCTCTCCTAAAAATAAAAAAAAAATTAGCCAGGCATCGTGGTGTGTGCTGTAATCTCAGCTACTTGGGAGGTTGGGGCAGGAGAATCGTTTGAACCTGGGAGGCAGAGGTTGCAGTGAGCTGAGATCACGCCACTGTGCTCTACCCTGGGTAACAGAGCAAGACTCTGACTCAAAAAAAAAAATAAAATAAAATAAAGAGACTATTTGGTACTTAAAATTATTAAATATCTGCATTGCTTGAGCCATTCTTAATTAAAACCCAAAGAATTCCTAATTGATGCAGCCTCTTCAAAGAAGGTCTCAACATCAGGAGCTAATCAGGAAGTAAGCTAGGTGGGAGTCAAGTTTTTGTTTTCCTTTTTTCTTCCCCCATTTATTTATTTTATTGCATTTTAGGTTTTGGGGTACATGTGAAGAACATGCAAGATTGTTGCATAGGTACACAAGTGGCAGCGTGATTTGCTGCCTTCCTCCCCTTCACCTATATCTGGCATCTCTCCCCTTGCTATCTCTCCCCAACTCCCCACC